GTTCTATAGCTTTTGAGCTATCGTGCTATTGTCATTGTTTGTATTTATTATTCTAACTCCGTGGTTAAGACGAATTTTTCTACTTTCTTAGCTACGTGACGGTAAGCGAACTCGCTAAATGTATTTTAGTGGATTATATGAAAGTCAAAGTCTGAAAGTATTCTCGATTAAATCATAAACAAATTTAAGAATAAATCGTAAATTTTACTAACATAATTGAAATGAAAATATATTAAATCATATACATGTATATACACACATATATTAACAAGTATAATCCATTATAATGGTAACATACTAATAATTTTTAATTTTATTTTTATTTTGAAATAGATAAAAAAACTAATCTTAAAAATACTATTAATTTAACTAAAACTATTTAAAATATATAAGAAATAACGTAAGGTTTCTGTTACGATATATAGAATAGGTCATAAAGTATTTGAATAAAATTCAAAAATAATCTCGTTTAAGTATATGTTTTATCACAAAAATGGAACAAAGAACATTGTTATTTTAAGTTGATTATTATATTGCTCGTATACAAGTGCATATGTTACACTAAACTGTTGATATTTTCAAATTAATAAACGACTGGAGACTTTATTTAAATATGCTCGTGAGTAATGAATATAACCTTAAAATTTTTAACTGTTTCATTCCATCACTTCAATCATAAAAACTTTTATCCAGCGATAAAATATTTGATTTATTTATTGTCATTTTACTTTATGCTTTACTTTAACTCCATGGAATATGAATAACGTACAAACTATTATAGGAATTTTTAATTATATATATGTTTCATAAATACTTTTATGTACATAATGAGACTTTATATTTTTTATCTGTACACCTTTTCTTCTTTGTAAAAGAAAAAAAAATAAAATTATGGTAATTAAATGATAAACGAAAATATATAATGAAAATTTTAAGTTAATTTAAATAATTACTTATAAGAAATGTTTTTTTCCAACCAATTAATTTATAGAATAAAATTTCTTGTTATTAATCTTTATAAAAGCTAATAAGGCTATTTAATTATATGTAATTAATAAATTATACTGGTTTTCAACATTTTTAAGCTTGTAAAAAAATCAAATAAATTATATGAATGAATATGTTAGAAAAATAAATGTTACAACCTACTCATTATATTAAAATAGATAATAATATACTATTTGACAATTTAAAATTTTTTGTTTCTTATATATTATGTTATAGATAACGTATTGAATTCATAATGATGAATAATAATGAATTTTACAGTTGAAAATAACTAATATTTATGAAAATAATTTTTTAAAATAAATAATAATAAGAGAATGTAAATACTTTAACAGAAAAGGTATTATTGACGCTGAAAAAATATTTTTGTTTATGTATATCTTTAAACGAATAGACACACACACACAAAACACACACAAAAACACTGATTATTTTATGAAATTGAATTATATTTATATTAAATATAATTCATGAAATATATGAATTATGAAATTATATTCATATAAATATATGAATATATGAATTAAATATAAATATATGAAATTGAATATATATATACACACACACACACACGCACACACACACACACACACACACACACACAAACAAACACTGATTATTTTATGAAATTGAAATATGAAATTGAATTATATCAATTTCATAATTATTTAATAATTTTCCTTTGTTACATATAATATTATTATATTATACTCGGCACATGTACTTTAAACGACTTTTTAAACTAAGTCTTTAATAAAGAAAATATTTTTTAGTCAAGCATAACTGAATCGGGACCTTGAAAAATACTTGAAGTGACACTTGAAAGTTCAATCGATCTCGTCGATGGATGAACGTGAGCAACAAGAATACATAATCTTGAAATGCCATTAGAGGCTCATCCGCATAATCCTTGATGATATACATGAATTAGCATCTACTGAAATATCCACAGCTACTTGACATTTTAATTCTGTCTGCACTATTTCTCTTACTTTACTGCTGAAAATAACTTATTTATTAAAAGTGAAAAGCTACGAACGAAAACCACTGTTAAATAAGCTTATTGAAACTGTTCTCGATCGATGAATATTGTTTATTTCTAAAATAAAATGAAATAAATTCGAACATGATAACTTATTTCAGACATGGTCATTAAATATATTTAAAGAAATCCCATGATTAACATATTAATTACTATTTTATAATTGTACTCAAACTTTCATTCAGCCTAGAAAATTGAAGGAAATATATAGATTTTTCGATAAGTTATTGGGAAGATAGATTTTCTTAGAATGTATACTTTTAGTTAAAATGATAATCTTACGCATCGTTAAAAGTTAATAATAAATTTGAATTTCAAATGTAGTATTTTACTTTTAGTTCTCGTATTAATACAAATTATTAGGGTATACAAAAAAAATAAAAAAAATAAAAAAAATGCTAACTTATACATCTTTTATAATAAAACATTAATAATGAATGTTTAGTTTGAAAAAATTTAATTTAAAATGAATATTTCATGCCACGTATTTAATTTTTATTTCAGAAATTTTCTTCACTTTTATATACTATATATTATATTATTACTATACTATATATTATATATTATATAAATATTGATGAACGTTAAATATTAAAAAAATTTCAAATTTCGTTTCTTATTGATTTCGATTTATTTTAATATATTTAATAATTTATGTACAAATATAAGTTTTTTAATACATAAATAGTACATGTCTTTACATATTGACATTTTTTCTAATTGTTATATATTATATAATTCAACTGTGGTTATAAATTGTTCTGCAATTTTGAATATTCATAATAATTCATTCTTTCGAGAATATTTTATTAATAATCAATATGAAACGATTTCAAGTGATGGATGTTTTTCCTTTTCTAACATCACAATTTAAATGCTTTGTGCGCGATCAAAAAGCTTACTATTTTCTATTATACATTTTACGATGATTGTATACATGTCTGTTCAATGAAGTTTTTACAGTTGTACATTTGTCTGTTTTTAAGTTAGGCAAGCTCAGTGAGATAACAATTATGGGTTGAAAATTTTCCATAGAACGAAATCCGAGGACATACGATGATACGCTTAGAGCGGAATTTAAAAATTTTCCGCGCGACATGCGCATTGTTTTGGTATATAACACAATTAAGCGATTAATGCCTTTAATAGGTGACGGAGTGGATTGACTTATACTAGTTTTTCCACTGAATTTCCGTCTCTTTTATATGACACATACTTTAGCCCATTATCTCCTCTAATAAGTATAAATTAATTGAAAATGATATTTAAAAATGGAAATAGGGTCTACAAAGCATCAGCAGATCAAGTTTCATTTGAATAATAAAAGTCAAAGATATGTTGCATAAAATTAATTTACAATCATTCGCAAGTATTGCATTTTAAATGTAAATAGTATTAAATGATAAAAGCGCATAGTTTAATTGCACTATTATAATATTCGTAATTCAATCATCAAAAATTGTATTATAAATATTAATTACTATATTAATGAGATAGTCAAAATTACTCGGCTATCCAACTCACGAGCATTTGTAACGCTCGTAAAAGCGTGTAAGCTTTATTCTTTAATAAGCGTAAAATCTTACATTTTCAAAAGTCAATAATGATTAATAAAAATTTAGAATAATTGCTCTGGTTAGCCTTACTAAATATAATAACAATTAATAAAAGATTTATGCTTTTCTACAATTAGAACGAACACGCTATTCGGTCCACGTAAAGGGAATAAGCAAGATAATTCGTCTTTTAATTAATAATTCGTTCGAGTCATGCCTCGAGCGGTCAGACGTAATCGCGACAGCGTTTAATTGGACGATTCAATGGTATTCCTCTTTTTAATACATAGCCCCCCGACGAATTTACAATACGCATTACGCCACAACAGATTGCCTATACAATAAATCCTTACTACTCCGAGTAATCTAAGCACGCTTTTGAATATTTTCTTCGAGCGCGAATAAAGTGCTTATTACGAATATAAATACGGAAGTTCAGTGCTCGTAAAGTATGTTGAGTTCGGTGATCGGCATTTTTGACATTCACAAATTACTTGACGTACTCCGGGGGTCATTGGTTATTCAAGAATTGTAAAACTCACGAGGCTGCTTATCTTGAAGGACTGTTTATTGTAATTAGAATTATTATACAAAGATTGGTTGTAAAGTAATTCAAATACATCATTGGAACATAAGTTATTTTTATTGGGCTGGGATGGAATCAAGTTGATTTCTATTTCTCTTTTCTTTCCTTCATTTTTTATTTGTTTTGTTTTTGTTTTTTGTTTTTGTTTTATTTTATTTATATTTACTCTTAACTTAAGTTTTATATTTATATTGTAGGAAAATTCGTAGCATTGAATTAACAAAATTTATAATTACTTTACTACCATTCATCGTTTTTTTTTTTTTTTTTTTTTTTTTTTTTTTTTTTTTTTTTTTTTTTTTTTTTTTTTTTTTTTTTTTTTTTTTTTTTTATATATTATCTTTAATGAATAATTTGTTGATTTCTATGAATATCTGGTCTACGTTGACAATGCCATTAATAATTTGAAATTTCATCTATGGTATTGTATAATATACAAATTGTATATTATATTGTATGTATAAATTGTAAATTGTATAATAAACAACAATTTATCCATTTGATAATATTAATATGAAAAGCTATCATTACATACAATTTTGAACACATATAGTATTAAATCACATTAGAATTATATATGAAATGGCAATAAGTTTAAAATTCACAGTATTGAATTAAATTAGAACGATATTTGAAATGAAACAAAATTTTAAATTAAATCTACGTACATTGGTCAGAAAAGACATCTGTCTGGATGTATATAAGGTAAGCTATTCATATGCTAAATCATTTAACAAAAATATCAATATACAAATATGTATACGTATGTATATACGTATAGCAGAGCCTTTATCACTTATACTCTTACCTTATCGTAACGGCGAGAAGGACAATGATAACGCCGACCAGAACCATGGCGATTAGAACTCCGCATATCATATAAACGCTGTCCACCGGCGGATCTGCAACACACAAGTGCAAGTTCGATTATTACATTTTTCGTCATTATGCTAATTGGATGTATTGCGCCTCATTGTATGGGCGAAAAAGGAAGTTGGAGTAGTGCAAAACAGGTTTTTCAGGAAAGTCATTATGAATTTAAGATTTCGCGTTTCTCCGCATTTTCTCTGTTAACTTATTTTCTGCGATTTGCAGAAATTAATACTTGCCCAAGATTGTTAATGGAATACGTTTCGAAGCGAATACTGACTTGTATGCGATTTTCAAGAAACGATAAAATGAATAGCGAGAAAAATAAAAATCTCTTCATTTTCATAACTTCAGTTGGAGTAGTACGTAAAGTTTAATTCTTCAATTGGCTGTAAGGTGCATTAGCAGTAAAGTTAATGTAGAACAAAGTCATCGTTTAAATCAGATGCATTTGTCGTATTACCTATACTGGATTTATTTTTAATATAAATGAAAATTTATATAAAATAACGGGCTAAAATACCAGAGTGTGTTTATATTTTTAATGGACACACTTAATTGCTGAAAAGCAAGAAAATCACGCTACGTGAGCCGTTGTATGCAAAGAATGCACAATCTTTCACTACTTAATTGCATCTGATTTTGCATAAGCTAGAGAAATGCGAAGCCATTATAAAACAGCGATAAAATGTTAATGAAACAAATAAAAAAGTACAAGTTCTACATTGCTTTTTTAAGGTATTTCAATGAACATCGAATACACCAGAAAAATTTGTATTAGCCTTGTACGCAAAACGTTTGTATAGTTACTTAATCCATTTTACCAAAGAATTCGTATTATAAGCGTTTATAATATAAAATGTCAAATAGATTTCACTTAAGTTTACATAATTTTGAATTAAATATCTACATTTCAATTTGCAAAAAAAAAATTTCATAAGTGTATTTAATATATTGTTGTTTAATTTTAGTTTAATTAATTTCTATTTCATATTGAAAAATTAATAAAGATACAAAAATTACAAACTCGTAAAATAATAACGACATGCATTTCTTTATCTATTTTTATAAAGTTGTTATATTTATAATATTATATAAATAATCAACACGTATAAGTGTTTTAGTTTCAGAATTTTTTGAGTCAATATTTGCAGAGCTGCTGCGTTATTAACGGATATTTAAAGAAAAGAAATGAATTTTTAAGTTTTGTATTGTTTGTATTGTCGTATAATCAATGTAAACAACTCCGTTTAACAATTAAATATAGTTTAAGGAACAAGGTTTCACCTATTTTATGTCTTCATTAGTGGAGCAAAATCTAAATTTTTGAATTTCAATTATAATTATCAGATATGTTGTAATTATCGGTGTGTTCGTAGGAAATTAAATTAATTTACGGAAATAAAATTAAACTGTATAAAATTACTGTATACGAGCTGGTAATTTATTTTTTTTTCGTATTTTAAACTTTTTTTTGTTGCACAGTAATGTGAAAATTATTTTAAGAATTTTCTTTGCTTGTATTTATATCAAATTATCTACTACTTTATTAAAATCGATGATAATGTAAAAATCACCCATATCGCGAATAAGAAATAGCAATTGGTTGAATATGCAAGAATTTCGTGCAGCTTATGTTTATAAACCAATTTTGTGCAATACATTTAATAATATTCTAGTAAGATATATAGTTATTAAAGTCTTAAAGTCTAAATCTTATAATATCCTCTAATCCTTATAATATTTTCACAATAATTAATTATTATAAAAATATAATCATGTTTCATTTTTCAAAACGATCTATATTGCAGAATTTACGAATTATACTCTATGATCGTGATATTATAATTCTTGCTAATTTGTTATATTATTTGTATGCCTTCTCCAGTTTTACATGTTTGTTAGCTATAAGTATTTGAACAAATGTGCCACATTAAATTCAAATATAATTTATTCACCGAAACATACACCAATGATGTACATTGCAATATTCCAACTATATATAAGATAATTTTTCCTTTACATTACATAAAATATATCACATTTTTTAATAATTTTTTCTGAAATATCGTCTTATCCGAGAGTTTTCTACGCGCACTCATACATGTCAAGCAGTGGCGCAAAGCTTTAAATCGTTTTTCAATGCAACCTCTTACAACTGGTTTGCCCGAGAAATTATCTTTTCGAATGGTATATGGTTGATCAGTACCATGATGTATGTAGTTATGCACGGAGGCATTTCCATTTTATGCACGTGTGTCGTGACGCAGTCACCAAGTCTCGACAAAGCGAATAGATCGATAGTCGATCACGCGAAAGAAGCGTGTAGCGGCGCATTAAGGATCTGACGTCACCAATTATCCACATTACTTTTACACACCAGATGTATGTATGGATGCATGTATGTGTGTCGATTAGTATAATGATCACATGGAATAAAAAAGAAAAATGCTTAATGTGAAACATTATGTTTTGTTGAGTACCCCTGGATAAAAAGTTGTTCGTTTATTCATGGAAACTGTGTATGGGACAGCTGATGTTAAGTAGTTTAATGTAAACTATCAAATGTTTATTTTCTAACAGTAGCTGAGTATGCTTAAGGGTATATGTTAAAAAATTTTCGTAGAATAGACTTCATACGTGGGTCATTAATTAATAATTGTAAAAATACTCGTGTATTTTCCAAATAATATCTGCTATAACGTATCGGTATATGTCTAAAAATTTCTTTTAATAAGATTAAAAATAATATATATTAAAGATAATGATATAATTTAGGACTCTATTTACAAGAAAAATACATGTGTAAAAATGCTAATAAGCCAATATATAAATATGTATTATTCACAATATAAAAAGGTAAAGTATTCTTCTTGAGTATCGAGCTTACCAATATATTGGGCATATTATATATGTTTATATATATATATATATAATATATATAATAATTATATATAAATATATATAATAATTCACTATCTATAAAGATAAAATAATCTTCTTGAGTGTTGAAGTTTTTAGTACTTTTATACGTATTTTTTTTGCAAATAGAGCCTTTGATTATGTGAACATTAGTAAAGTTCTAAGTAGCATTATTTGAAAAAACCAAATTAGTTGCAATTCTTTTACGAATAACAACAGTACAAAGAAAATTCATCGTCATCTGAAAAACCGCATTAATTGCAGTGTAGTTCGTAGCAGCACAGCCACAAAGGAAGCAATGCAACGCCAAAAAGACGTACATACATATAGTTCACATAAATATATAGCATTTACGAGCAGGTCACACGTGTAACAAAGTAGGCTATCGGAACTCGGACATTTTCCGCCTACGCCGTGTCAGTACTTCATTTGTTCATTTGCGTTTCAAGTCAGAAATTCAAATTTCATTATAGGCGCTAATAAAATTTACAAGATAAGTTAGTGTTTTGTATTTAATATAATATTTCATTATAATTATCCATATATTTACATTTACGTGGCGTTTAAAATGTTGAAATTTGCAATTAAAAACGAAATTTTAATACTGTAAACAATAGATAATCAAATGATCCAAAATATTTTATCATAGTAGTAAAATAAATTAATAGACCGTAAAAAGTTTGTTAACCATCTCAAAATATTACTTAGTATATAACCTTTGATAGATAATTATTTAGACAGTTTTTTTTTACTCCATCAATTCTTAATGTTAAAATTATGTTTTCTCGAAAAGACAATGAATTTGTAATGATGTACATTCATAAAATGAAATACGAAGAACAATTATAATGCAAGTATTAAAATTTTATACTAATATTTTTAATATCAGCTGACTATAAAAATTACTTATGCCATTTTGACATTAAAAAGTCAAAAGTAATTTAAGCATACGTAGTATTTACAATCATTGGTATTTCAATTCAGGTGCTTAGAAGAGAATTTCATTATTTTCTTGAAAACATAAAACCATTAAAAAAAAATGACATACAAGTATAATATTAAATAGGGTTGGAAATCAATGTTCGTGCATTTATTTATATTCTAAAATTAAGAATAGGGAATGAAACAAATAAAGCATCTCGCAAATATCAATATTTGGATGTTATATTTATTTCTCTGTGATATATACGCCTGGTCTGTTACAAAAATAGACGTAACACATCTACGAAGTCCATATAAAATCAAACAATAATATTAAATTTGGCATGGGTCTCAAGTACCTTTTCTTCCACGAAAATTACGCATCGATCACAACCTTGACGTCACTGCAACCAAAATTTTGTTTTGCACATAAATCGATGTTTAACAAGGACATAGAGCATTAAAAATAATCATCATTTCCTTCTTCCTTTCTCATTGTAGCTTTAATGTAAATTACCTGCATTATCATAGGATTAAATTATAGAATTTAATTATCAATTATCAATTTCATTTAATAGTCCACATGTTAAATAATATAGCATTATTATTAAAACACATGTTTAAATACACATTAGAATTGTTTTCATAATAGAATTGTTCATTTCAAATTAATTAAAAACAGCTACCAAACCGCAAAAGATTTTTTTTTTATGCCTTTTTATTGAAATAAAATGTATGAAATAAAATTATCTACATCTTTCTTCTACTCACTCGTATACTTAGGTATTGATAAACATTCACGATGAATAATTAAGAATTAATAAATTAATAAATTAAGAAATAAATTATTAATTAATAATAATGATAATTAATAGTATATTGTCTTGACGAATATCGTCAAAGTATACTTAATCTATGATAATAATAAAAAATGATTGATTATGTTTTAATACGATTAGTTTGTTGGTGTTCATGTAAACATTTTTTTTTTATATCATTAAGTTTTATTATTTTACTTAGATTAATTTAAAATATTTAATTTAGAAGTACGAAGTATAGAGTAATTATAAAAATAAAAGAATTACAAAGATAATTTATGATTAAATAGTTATTTAATAACATATTACAATATGATTAAAAAAAAAAAAAAAAAGAAAAAAAAAAGAAAAAACATACTCATTTCAAATAT